AAGTAATTATCGTTTCAATTCCAAATGAATAAGAAAGAAAGAGAAATATGCGAATTCGAAATATATTTTAAGAAATCTTTTTTGTAGGCGTTCTAATCTAAGTATTGATGGCATAATTTCTTAGAGGCAAGTCCGAAAATGGATGTAAAAAATGACAGCTTTTGGCCTGAAATGGGGTCGGCATTTGGGGAACCAGGCAGCACACCCCATCATGAATTGCCAGGCGTACACCCCCCAGATTCAATAGTTGGTAATTACAGTAAACACCCGCTAATAAGAACGCGCGGAAAGAACCTCCTGGCAGAAATTTCCCGCTTTAATACCCAAAAATACAAGAACCTGTTTAGCCAAGCAAGATCAAACAGCCTTATAGATGGTTATTATGATAAACAATCTAAGCAAGGAGTGTAACTTTGAATTGTAAATTTAAGTATATAACAACAATAATATACTGTACCAAACTGTATATAATTAAATTAGGTAATCAGTTTTGTTAGGGTTATCATAATAAAATTGTGAAAATATTAAAAAATTATTTATTTTTTTGGTAATCAACAATCTACTATCCGACTTCATAAAAATTAGTCTAAATTGTTAATAAGTACCCGAAAATAAAGGAACCTATTTTGCCAGACTTTAAAACAAGTAAAGCTGAGTAGGTTCTTATTAGCGGGTGTTTACTGTATTAATATTTTGCTGCTAAACAGTAGTTCACAAAAACAGTAGCTTTCCTGTCTGCTGCGCATGAACTCTAAGCCTTGTTCGTAAGTTATCAGCGGTTCCACATCAAAAGATAGACAGTTCTCACAGTGCTCGCGGCGTTGATTTAAATTTGTTGTGGTACACGCACAGTTACTATTTGCAAGGGAAAATGTTAGCATTTAGTCACGGAAACGTTGCCTCGTTCAGGTCTTTTGGCTGCCTGGTTTTTATTTCTATGCTACGTCTTGCATTTCATGCAGGTTAACATACATCATTGTTTCTAATTCCTCAGTGGATGGCTCCCGTTCTCTTGTCAAAAGAATTTGGATTGCCCAGAATTCGAGTTACTAGGGGGTTAATTAAATATCTACACCATCTGAAATATGGGAAATAGTAGTGGGGGCTATTTTGGAGATAGAAGATTGTGTTAAACGGAGAATTGGGTATGCAATTTCTTGCACGCCACCCACTGGAATCAATCGACTGTGACAACAGACTGAACTCACTGGCTAGGCGAGGTCACACGTACAAGTGAGTTAAATCAAGTTAACCTCTTTTTAATCGGTACCACTTTGCAACCGATCTGTGTATACCTTCCAAATAGCTGTCTATGGACCTACGTGAGTAATGATGCCAACAATACAGGATTTCAGTTTATGAATTTCTTCCTGCATGAAAAGGCACTCACTAAATGTCTTTCATCGGGAATATTGAGACCCTGAGGCGGAATTGTGTCCCACATCTCAATGTCGTTTTTGAGGTGTGACGAATGGTCTTTGTGAGCATTCGCGAGCATACCGAGCACTGCGATTTTTTTGCGAGCACGAGCAGAAATAAAAAATTTGCTTTGCGAGCTTGCGAGCAACTGCAAAAATTTGGGGAGCACGAGCAAGCGAGCAGTCGTTTGAATTTTGCGAGCAAATCGAGCAAATGTAAAATTTTGCGAGCAGTTAAAAATTTTAATGGACCATTCATCACCCCTTTTTTACAATCAACCTCCATTTTGCACTATAGTTTAGTTACACGATACATTCATGCTAAGCTAAATTGTGCTGATATTAATTAGAGCGGGGAATCTGGTACTTACAAGTATAAGATAATTCATGTGTAAAATTATGTTATGGTTGAGTTCTTTCTTAAGAGACATTTTCCTTTGTTTTAAATTCATTATCATACGTTACCATACCCTCAAGCAAAGGAAAAAAACTTAAACCAAAGATAAAAAGGAACCTTATATATTACATATATCACCATGTGTTTCCTTCCCCCTCTTAAAAGTTTCAACACTCGCTTACTTTATTTTTGTGACGTTATATTTAGAATTTTTTTACAAGACAAATGGCTATTTTACAGCCATTAGAAATCCTAAAAAAGCCGAATGTATAAATTTTACGAGATATGAAATTTAAAACATTTATCCCTCCAACAACTAAGACTGGCGTTGAAAACTGTAAAAGTATTATTATATCGATTTATCTTTGCCTCAATAAGCTACAATTTCTGAAATCCATTTGTTCTCTTTCCGGAATTCATTCCGATCGACTGAACGGGCCCTAATGTTTCTTTTGTATATTTAACCCCTTCACTGCCAGAGTGTTTGATGGAGTTTTGTAAGGCGAGTCTAACTTTTGAGTGTGCAGACGAAATCCTATGATGTGACCATTCAAATGAAAGTTCTCTGCCTGTACTTTCATATGGTGCTATTTGTTTGTCAAAGTTTTAGAAAATGAAATTTGGAAATTTGGTCGAAATTTGCCTTTGGCCACATTTGGCAGGCAAATGTCACATTTGGCAAGGGTTAATTACATTTGCAAATGTCATTATTCAGTTGATAAGATAAATGGCTTTAAATTCCTCATTTTAGCCAATTTACTCCAGTTTCTCTTATTTCTCCCCAGTGTCCTACCTGTAGTCTCCGAACTATTCCCACTAAACCTAATTTCGACCTGCAACAAAACGAATTGGCAGCGCGAAGTCAATAAGCTTTGAAATACAACACTAACTGAACTATATAGTGTTATTTGCGGGTCAGTGTTTGGGTACGAAAAATTATTCAGCTGGCTATGTTTTTCAGGACCAGTATTAAGAGTGCTAGCCAGACTTTGCGTCTAGCTCCATATAAATGTCCCCTAAAAATACTGCCCCAGCCTCCTCTTTCCAAGCAAAAGATGAATTGCGTTGCTCAAATTAAAGTATACCATCAAAAGAGGATGAACTAGGTCTTGATAAAGTGCGAAAGAATATACCTCAAGTAGCGTTTTAAAATTGAAGATGACGATACAGAAATAGTGGAACAGGATATTGTGGAATTTGGTGATAACAAGACTGCATGGTTGATAGTGGAGTGTAAGTTTGTACAAACACACACATTTGTTTTTCCTTTTACATGGCGGACAATGCTCTCGTTTTTGTTATTTCATGATACGTTTTGTTATCCCTCAAAATAACACATTGAGAGCGAACTTTCAATAAGAAAATATAAAACGCCTCCTTTGGATATTCACTTAGCTTCCATCTCGCCTCAGAAATTTGAATACCTATTTCTCGCTTATAGTAATCCAATTATCTAGCTGAAGCATGGATCTTGGAATAGCCTACGTAGCAAGCGTTTTCGTGCGGTTTCAGAGCAATAACTGAAGCTATGCTTGCATATATTAATAAAATACCCTGAGGATATGTAAATTATGATTATAAAGCGTCACGTTGGGCCCACTATAGGCTCCCTCCAGACTCTTCGTCTGGTTTGGGCTTGTCCCATTATAAAGAGAACTTAATCCAATGTATTGTAACCTTTTTTTCTGCTTATTTACATATTTATTCATTCGTATTATTATCTTTTTTAACCTCTTTTTCCTTGATGTCGTAAATCTCTTTAATTTTCCTTTTAAGATGTGGAGTAACCACACTGCCTGCCTCGAATAGCTTTTAGCTAAATGCAGGCAGTGTGTATGATAAATGTATTTATTTGCTTTTTAATAAAATTGTTGTTGTTGTTCCTTTGTGAACGTCTTGTTAATTTCCTTCGTTTTTTAATTGTTACCCTCTCTTTCGCTTTTATTTCCTTTATGCGTTAATTTAAGTCGCTTTGATTTCCAATATCTTAATTTCGTGGAGCGTTAATTTCCTATAGAAGTGCCTCCCACCCCACTTCCCCCTCTCCGTGGGAAGGTGCCAGCTTATCAAACTGGATTTCACGAGTATGTTTCGAAATGTCTTCTTCCAGCCTTTTTATTTCTTTCTTTTACTTACTCAATAGATGTGTCAACTCCAAGAAGTCCGGACTGTGAAATAAGTGCTTCTTGCTTCCACTCACAGAAATGCCAACCGCCTTTTCAGACAATAACAGTAACGCCGAAAGACTCTACAGTGACTTCCAACTGCTCGATAGTGACCGGTGGAAAAGTACAAGACGTGACTTGGCAGGATCTTGAAAAAATCCTCAATGCCAGTAAGAACGGACTGTTCTTACAACAAATCGATTCAAAAGATGGAAATGAGTCATGTAGATGTTTTTCTATACAATACGCAAGTACGTAAGTATTTTCTCTCTTTGCCCCTTTTTGAATTTATGATGAAGCAAAAAACATGTGGCAGTTTTCTGTCTCTTGTTACATGAATTATTGGTGCCAAATCTAATGAGGGCCTCTTAACATTTCAAAGGAGATTTAAGTTCAGCTTATAATTAAGCACTCTTTACGGTAAAAGTAATCGTTAAACTAGAAAGGATACATTCGTTTTGTCCGGCTGAATCACGGGGCCTTAACTGAATCACGGGTTAGCATCGGAACCGATTTGCTAATTAAAAATCAACATCAAGGACTAGGTTGGGGCGTATTAGGGAGGTGAGAGTGAAGGATAGCTTGAATACACCTTATTCAAAATGTCTACCTCCAGTAAAGCGCAATTAGCCAAAACTGTGACCCAATAGAATTATGGGAATTTTTGAAGAACCTAATATTTGCATTTCCCTTTGGCAGAAAACAAAAGCACGAAAACTGGTCATGATACCAAGACCTTACAGTAATAATCTTCGCTGGCGTGCGATTTGTCCAGGAGTTGCTGTTTGAGACCTTTTACGCTGGCGAAATGCGGAGCATTTCGCAGCTTATACGTGTCATACTCCCTCTTTTTAACTTTTATCAGCACCCCATTTTGCTCAATATTATAGTTACAGCAAGCACGTTCTTCTTTTAAAAAGTCAGGATCATTGTACCCAAAGTTTCTTTTTGTTCCCGTATTACCTATTGCGTGTTTCAGACGTCAAAAATAGCTGTAAACTGTATATTGTAACTGAGTGAATGACTTATGAGCCTAGGAAGTACAAGACTAAAAATTTGTTCTCAGTTCCAGTTCAGGAAGTAATTAAGACAAGTTGTCCCGTTAACTACTATCCTGACACGAGACAAATGGAACTGAATTGTACCTTCAAGGGATGGCCTCGTTCTCGTGTAGTTTGGTACAATCCACATAAAAAACAAATCATCAACGGATCTGAAGGTTTTTACATCTCAGAGGAGCTGGTTGGAAAGGATACCTTAAGTTCCCTTCTTCGTAATCTTAATATCCAAGAAAAAGACGAAGGGGATTATATTTTCACTGCAACGAACGGTTGGTCGAGTGAAATTTCAAAGATAATTGAGCTGGTTTATTTGTGTAAGTGGTCTGATTAGTTAGAGGTATGTTTTGAAGTGAACCCGGATTACTGTCTACCAAGAGGCTGGAAGTGGGGGGGAGGGGTTCTGATCCCGTATTTCCGCTCTCTTTCACCACAATCCCGCACCCCGAACGTCTGTCATCTCTATCCCGAATACCGTTTTCTTTCAGATTTTGGCGTATCCCGCTTCCCGAGTAGCGGTCAATTCCCGTATCGCGTAAAAAAAATTGGGGTTTTCCCGAATCCCGCCTGTATTTCGTGCGAGAATACCCTTCCAGACCCTGTACATACCCGTATATCGTTTTCTTTCCCAATCCTGCATCCGTGCCCAAATTTTGGAGAATCCCTCTTCCGCAGAAGCAGTCAAATCCCGTATCCTGTTAACGTTTCCCGAATCCTGCACTGTATTTCAGTCAAATCCCGGAGCCTGGGAATACCCTTGTAGATCATAGATCCCGTACATGCCGTCAGACGAAATTGTCGCGGATGAAGTTGACATTCTTTCTCTCCGATGAGCAGGAGAAATACAGCTCTTCGGTTGCCTTGCAGTCAACAGACATTCCATTCAGAGGGAATAATAAACCCCAAGAGCCATTATGGCTCTTGTAAACCCTTAATGACTGGTCCAGAGGGAAACAGTCAATTTTGTTTCCCTAGAATCTCAATGTTTCCAGAGGCGAAACCGAGGAAAACATCGAGATTCGTGATTTGTTATATAGCTGGAAATTTTGAAGCTGGAAATTCATTAAACCTAGCTGTAACGGCGGTCGTTGGTCAACATTCGCGGGTAACAGTGCACTGTTACCCTCTGACGTCATACATTTTGCAATGTTGCTCGCTCAGAGATTTGGCGTGAAACAGTTTCATTGTTAGATGTCATGTGACCTCGAAGTAACCAATGAGCGCCGGCCCGCTGTTAAGAAGAAATTTCCAGCCACATAACAATGTAAGATATTAGCTGATTTCAGGAGCCTTATATCTCGCTAAATTTTAATGAATGTCCTATCCCTTCAAACGGTGAGAAAAAAATACGTCGGTTGTGTATAAGCCACGGCTGCCTCAGACAGTTAACTTAAAAGATAAACTAAGAATTTCTTGCCACTACCCTCTTCCACTCAGAATTCTAGGGATACTTAGCTTATTAGAAAATTAATAGATAGTGTGAATGTCTTCTTTTACCTTTTCTGCGGTGACTGATGATTATCACGCATAAAAAGCCTATCCTTTGGACTACGATAAAAATGATTATAATCATGGGAGAATGATATAACAGATAAAATACAAATTCAATTCTGTAAACAAGTTCTAGGTGTGAATAAACAGTGTCCAAATGTTGCATGCAGAAATGAACATGGATGACTACCACGGAAGGAAATAACTAACGTAAATATTATCAAATTTTGGATACATTTGGAAAACAAACAAGATGATTCTTATGCCAAGCAATGTTTACAAATATCAAAAGATATGGCTGAGAAAAACCAGATGAGTCTTGTGAAAATAGTTAATACCTTATGCAACAATTCGAATCTAAATGAATTGTATTTAAATGATAACAACTCCTTAACATATATAAAGAATATCTAATTAACTATACGTGAAGAACTGACTTTACACCAATATAATCTAATAAGAAATAACAAGAAACTAAAATTCTACTCAATACATTGTATTCAAAAATGACTGTCACAAAAATTAATTGTTTGAACATAATCACCAATATAAATCACAAAAAAACACTAAATAAAGACAGACTTGGCAACCATCGCTTACAAATTGAGACGGGCAGACATACAGTACCGAAAACTCCAGAAAATCTTCCAATTTGCCCCTTCTGCCACTTAAATGAAGTTGAACACTAATTACACTTTCTATTCAATTGTAATCTTAACGATAGTCTTCGATCTAACTTTTGCAGAAACATTAGTAATAGATACCCCCTTTTAATAATTTTGACAACAATAAAAAAGACCCTCTTCATATTTAACATTGTCGATCCTCAAATCTACAGACTGACAGCTGCTTACATACATTTTATGTATGGAATATAGACAAAAACTTGTTCTTTAATTATGGCCTTTATTTTGATTTAAGATTCATAAATAATGTAGGCAATACCACGTACTCACGTGGGAATACTGAAATAAAGTTGTTGGGTAAGATTAAGGCTGTAGTCCACTAAGGTTGCACAATAGCACGGCAATGATCTTTAAATTATATTTGATTAGTTCATAATATCTACCATGTATCTTCTAATTATGCAGGTCCCAGTCCTAAACATCCGCCTATTTCTCCTCCCGAGGTTTCAGTGATGGCCTTCAACAACGTCAGTTTAAAGTGCTTGGTTGAAATAGATCCTGACAGTGATTGCGAAATTTCAGAATTTCAGTGGTTTTTTAACAACAGCTCAGCGCCATTAACATCTGGTGAAAAGTATGATATACAAAGCAGGACAACCAACACCAGATGCAAAAAAGATTTCATTCTCACCATAACTAATGTTACTGATGATGATGAGGGAAAGTATAAAATGTCAGTGGATCTGTGACGAGGACGACCCCAGTTACCTTTCCACGTCTTTTATCCAGTTGAATGTAACAGGTATTGTTTCCTCTACAAGATTTCTCTATTGGCTTCTCCAAATTTTACTACACATTGAATGATCTCATGCAACTAAAAATGGTCTTCTCTAAACGCAAGCTCGAGCGGTTTTCCAAGACATGGATCAGTAACAAGTGCGATAAGAAAGTCAATTAAGTAAAATACTGGTCGTTGAGTGATAGATCACTTGAATGCGTTTAACAATCGTGCTTTTTTTTTTTTTTCAGAACCAACAACCGAGACCACTACAGGAACACAACAACGCTAGCGTCACCAAGTCATACAGGAGGTAAAAAACAGCACTTCTTTATAACCAGGGGTACCCAACGTCAATTTTCGGAAAATATCTGTTCGGAAGACGATTGGAGATCTAGAATTTTCGAAACATTTGTTGTAAAATTTCTTGCTTTCCTGCCTCTCTTAGGATTTTCGAACATCTAAAACATGGATTAAATTAGCTGCAAAAACCGTGGACGAAGATCCTGCTAGTTGTAAACGTTGGATCTCTAGAAAAGAGATCAAATCAGCCAAAATATAAAGAACCAAGAACGAGAAGTCCAAAGACTACTGCAAAGCTGATTTAAAACAACGTGTATTGTTTTTTATAACAATGTTTCGGCTGGCCATACCAGCCTACTTTAGGTTTACAGATGTTACTGAACTTATGTGGCAACAATATTATATAGATAGAGAATGTCGCAATAAAAGGGAGAGGCGGAAATGACGTACAACATAAAAATACTAAGGATATGGATTACAATAATTCGTCACGGCGGTTTAGGCCATGAGGTTCAAGACTCATGGCCTTATCTATCAAATGCGACTCCCTGGCCTTATGAACTGAGTCACGTGAAGAATGAATTTTCTCTAGTGGGATTAACAGCATGTCAGAATGAGAATGGTTAGAGTGAGAGAGAAAGTGTTCAGAAACAGTAGTGGGTTTAGATTTAATGTTAGTTTTGTCGACTGCACGTCTGTGTTCGTTAAATCTGTCCTTGAGACGTCGCTTAGTTTCACCTATATATTGTAAATTACAACGGTTACATTGAACCATGTAGATCACATTTTTAGTGTTACAAGTAATGTGTGAAGTGATGGAGGGGTTTCACCTGTAGCGTAAAAGGTATAACTTGTGAGGCCGTTAGTAACGTATGGACAAGTGGCACAATTCTGTGGACAGGTTAAACCGGAAGAAGGCTGGTATGGCCAGCCGAAATATTGTTATAAAAAACAATACACGTTGTTTTAAATCAGCTTTGCACCAGAATCACCAGACTTTCAGCTAGAAAATCCGAACAGATGAAAATTTTTAGGATATAAAAATGTGCTTTTATCTACCGTTTAAATGCTAAAATACGTTTAACAATGCTATGTTTAAGTGGTTTTGAACTATATTCTCGTTGAGTGCCCCTGTATAACGCAAACACTGGCTAAAGTTACCTCAATTAGCCAGTCACAAAGAATACTGCCACATAAGTTCAGTAACATCTGTAAACCTGAAGAAGGCTGGTATGGCCAGTCGAAATATTGTTATAAAAAACAATACACGTTGTTTTAAATCAGCTTTGCAGTATCTAAAACATGGTATACTAATTGCCCATTTTTAACGAATTTTTAACAATTGTGCTTTTTTTTTTTCAGAACCAACAACCGAGACCACTACCGGGAACACAACATCGCCAGGTAAAAAAACAGCACTTCCTTATAACTAGGGGCACCCAACGTCAATTTTCGGAAAATATCTGTTCGGAAGACGATTTGAGACCTAGAATTTCGGAACATTTGTTGTAAAATTTCTTGCTTTCCTGCCTCTCCTAGGATTTTCGAACATCTAAAACATGGTATAATTGCCCATTTTTAACGGATTTTTACCCTAAAAAGTTCACCTAGAATTTTCGGGGGCCATTTTTCTGGCTGAAATTTTCGAAAAGGTAAGTTTTGATCACTATAATTTTCGGATCACCAGACTTTCAGCTAGAAAATCCGAACAGATGAGACATTTTTAGGATATAAAAATGTGCTTTTATCTACCGTTTAAATGCTAAAATACGTTTAACAAGGCTATGTTTAAGTGGTTTTGAACTACATTCTCGTTCGGTGCCCCTGTATAACGCCATAACTGGCTAAAGTGACCTCAATTAGCCAATCACAACGAATACGAGATGTGAAATGGGTGAACGTTCACATTTTAAAGTTACAGACACCTTGTACAGTGTATACCGCCGCCTGGTTATCTCAGTTGCCACAGAGAGCGCTGGTCTGCTGAGCGGGAGGTCGTGGGTTTAAACCCCGGCCGAACCAACACTCAGGGTCTTAAAACCAAGACTGAGAAGAAAGTGCTGCCTTTGTAATGACATCTGCAGACGATTAGACTTTCTAGTCTTCTCGGTTAAGGAAGAAAAACCGTAGGTTCCGTCTCAGAGCAATTTCACTTATCTGGTTCTTGTGAAATGTAAAAGAACCCACACTACTATTCGAGAAGAGAAGGGATGTAGACCTGGGTTATCTGCAAGGAGACACTGAAATTGGAGCGCCGCTCTGTTGTGTGTTCCGCACCATATGGTGGAAGTGATTAAACAAATAAATATAACTAAAAAAATCATCTTGGGTTCTGCAAATATGAGTAGGTTCACTGTTTATGTTATGCAACAAAACGTTTAAGTACATGGGCACTCGGCAACGGATCTCTGTTCCCCTAGTCTAGCTGGGAGCTTCTTTTTAAACGGCTCGTGAGGAGAAATCTCCATTCGGTGATTCAAAATGATTTGATAAAGCAGAAATTCTGCTGGTGCTTTTCTCTAAAGATCCTGGGAAATTCTACAATTTAATTTAAAGATTACTTTTATTGTTTTGTTTTCAATAACGTTTAGTTTTCCATTTTGATATCTTATACTCTGAATGCACTCATAGACGTGGTGGAGATTCTATTTTCGCCGGAAAAAGTGCCCTAAAAATGTGTCTAAAAATAAACTGATCCGTAAAAGCGGCGTGACATAGGCCTAGTATGGGAGTTTTTCACTCCGGTTTATGGGCTTCTGCCATAGGCCAATATTTTTCCCTGGCCCCAGTAACAATCCCAGAAATGTTTGCGAAAGTTAACTCAGCCCAGTTTCCTCTAGTAATTACGACACTTTGAGTAATCATCAAATGACGTAATACAAAAAATTAAAAAGACACTGAACAACACCCACACAGGCCGACCAACAATAGTTTCTGCAACAGTAAGAAATTAACACTCCACAAAACAATACCCACACAACAACACAGGCGAACCAACAATGGTTTCTGCAACACTAAGAAACACTCCACAAAACAATACCCACACAACAACACAGGCGAACCAACAATGGTTTCCCCAACACCAAGAAACACTCCACAAAACAATACCCACGCAACAACACACAGGCGAACCAACAATGGTTTCCGCAACACTAAGAAACACTCCCCACTTTTGAGAATGTGATGATTTGATATTTTCAATTGTTTTTGCTTTCAGGGATGTCAGCTCCCAGCCACAGGAAATGGATCCTACCCGTCATTATTTTTGCGTCCGGAGTTGTCCTGGGTTTATGCCTATCAGCTTTGTACGTGATAGTCAAAAAGAAAAGGAAAAAGCCCCCATCATACGAAATGGTATACAGGGAGAATCTACTCGACTGATTGAAGTGTGACCTTGTGTATTTATACATTTGTCACAGAAGTTTTATAAATTTTGACTTTGCTTTCAGTTTAAGGAAACATTACTAGAAAATTAGCCCGATTTGAGACTGGTTCATTGTTGAATTTGCCATGTGCTCTTTATTTACGTGAACGGATCCACGATCTAGTAAGTGTTACGCAAATTGCTTTTGACTGAGACATGTAATAAATTTACTTTAGCCATTTAAACTATTTTTTCTCAAAGCAATGATTTTACTAGGAGTTTTAAACAATGTAGGTTTGTAAAAAAAACATAGACTAGGAAGACCATGGAACCAAAGATCCGTCGTGAATTGGGACTAGGTACATAAAAATAAATAAAATGTCCTAGTAAACAAAAAGAAGAGAAAGTTTTAATAATGTCACTTAGTAGCAAAAAGCCCTTTACTTTAAATTTACAAGTGTTTATTGACAGGGTGCCACTTCAGTCTCTTTAAGTACGATGAATGAGTAGAAATTATTGTTGGCTACGTTTTTTTCCTAAAACATACGGGTTTTCGAATAAAAGTTCGCAAGAAATTGTTTCTCTGTCTTTTATATAACATTATTCGAAAACACGATCGTAAGACTGCAGCATCTAACCTGCGTTCATGCTTCGCTCTTTACCATGATAGCCCTTCTTTGAAGGGATGTCTTCGAATAGTCAGTCCTGACACAATTTTTGCTTTCAAGTTCTGTTTTGGGCACTTTTCGATAAGAAGCTAATTAATTTCAGTAGAAAATTTGTGTTACTACTTATTCTAGATTGATAATAAGCCAGTTTTTAAAGCTTGTATGGCCTGAAAGTTCATGATACAGCTCATATGGTCACTCAAACATGTACCGTTTTTTTTAGCGAGCTCAAAGTGCTTCCTGCAGTCGCCATCGTTGATTTTTTAAAAGTGCAGCCAGTAGGGAAGGCACCACCCGAATTATTGTCCTTAAACAAAGAAAAACCTTATTATTATTATTATTATTATTAATGATATTATTTTATCATTATTATTTAAATTTTATTCTTCTAATCTTAATTTAAGAGAATAGGGGTGCCAAATAAATTTACCTTTATTACTGATGGTGACCATTAAAAAGCGTAGGGCATGAATTCCGATCCACGTAGAACACGCCGTATGATTTCTGCATTTCAACAACATCAGCTGCTTGTAAGAGGATCAATTAAAGTGTTTTCATTGAGCGTCTAGAAACCTCACGAATTACATGTTTATCGAAAACTTCGAAAACAAACTAAAAGGATTGTGGTAAAAAGAC